GGTTACCACCTTAACCGGATGATCAAACACAATATCTTCAGTAGTGTAACAACTAATATTTAACTCCAATATGCATACGTTGTACAAATCACCTATATTCTTGGGGAATGCAAAACCTGAATTTAACTATCAAAAAACAATCAGACAAAAAAAAAAAAAACTAATCAGACAAGAAATCTAAAATGAGGGACATTCTATAACACAAATGGACTAGACAGTTCATGTCTATGTCTTGAAAAACAAAAAGCATGTATATGGAAACAAATTTAGTTGGAACCTAAATTGGAAAAAAAAGGTTTGTAAAACATTTTGGGACAATGGAGAAAATTTGAATACACACTGCATATTACACATAGAAATTGTTAATTGTCTTAGCATGATAAAGATTGTGGTTATTTAGGAAAATGACTGAATTCTTAGGAGATGCATGACCTAGTATTTTAAGGTGATCTTATCTTGACATCTAAAATTTACTTTGAGGGGCACCTGGATGGCTCAGTTGGTTAAGTGTCCTACTTCGGCTCAGGTCATGATCTCATGGTTTGTGGGTTCAAGCCCCACGTTGGGCTCTGTGCCAACAGCTCAGAGCCTGGAGCTTCATTCCGATTCTGTCTCCCTCTCTTGCTGCCCCTCCCACACTCATGCTCTGTCTCTCAAAGAGGAATAAATGTTAAAAAAATTTTTTTCTTTATATTTACTTTGAAGTGGCTCTGAGAAAGAAAAATATATGCAAACATGTATATATCCCCCCATCACACACACATACTTTTCTTTCTTTACACCTGTAGTTTAATATTTGCCTACATAAGTACCTACAACTTTGCCCCCTATCAGAAAACAATTCTTTCTTGTATCCTTGGAATATTTACGGAAGTCTTTCAAGTACTTACCCACAGAGAAAACGTGGCTTCAGAGTCTTTTTAAAAACCTCCATTTCCAATGAAATTAAAAATCACCACACAAACAATTCCAAAGTATTCCAAAAGAAAACTACTTAGAGAAACCAATTTGACAATAAATTTCATATATTTAAAAAAAAAAATAAAAAAAAAGAAAACTACTTAGAAGTTGAGCAGTTAAGGGGTGCCTGGGTGGCTCAGTCAGTAGAGCAACCAGCTCTTGATTTCGTCCCAAGTCATCATCCCAGGGTTGTGGGATCTAACCCTACGCCCAGCTCTGTGCTCAATGTGAAGCCTGCTTAAGATTCTCTCCCTCCCTCCCTCCCCCCTTTTCCCCTGCTCACTCTATCTAAAAGAAAAGAAAAAAAGAAAAAAAATTAAAAGGAAAATGAGCAGTTAAATAATCTCCAGATCAAGGAAGGACTGCAAAAGAAATTTTAATGACCAGAAAAAGATGAAAAGGAGGGCTTCAGAAACAAGCTGTCTCAAAGGAGAATGCATCAAGGATTTTACCACTAAAATACATGGAGTATTTAACTGAAACTAGAAAAAGAAAAGAAAAAGAAAAACAGATGGTGAGAATTGGTGTAAAAGCTAAAATTACAGTGACCTTTGGCTCTTGGTTTTGGCTCAGGTCATGGAGCTCATGGTTTGGTTCTTGGGTTCAAGCCTCGTGTGTGGGTATGCGGTAACAGTGCGGAGCCTGCTTCAAATTCTCTCTCTCTCAAAGAAACTTAAAAAGTTAAAAAAATAAAAAACTAAAACTACAAAACAAAGGTAGCAGAAATGGTAACACCAAACCTGGCTCTTTTTTTTTTTTTTATAAAATTTTTTCAAGCAGTTTATTTTTTAAGGACAGAGAGACAGAGCATGGAGCAGGAGGGCAGAGAGAGGGAGACCTGGGAGAAATCAGGCAGGCTCCAGGCTCTGAGGCTATCAGCCCAGAGCCAGCCCTTGAGCTTCGAACCTCACCGGGACCAGCGAGATGGTGACCTGGGCTGAGTGGGACGTAGCCAGAGCCTAAAACCACCCCAAACCTGGCTCTTTTAGTAAATGTGCTGCCGAAGCAAGCACAAAACCCCTTCTCTCAAAACACCAATAAAAACCCTCCAGTCAAGCCCAGTTAGAAAACAAAAGTATCAAGGATGAGACACAAACTATATATACGACTATAATTTTAAGAATCTAGAATAGTTATTTCCTATTAATAGAGGGAAGGTAATTCCTAAAAAACACTGGCAATGTAAAACATACCATTCTAAGCAGATCCAGGCCAAAGGACTTTACAGGTTACATTTATTTATTTTTGAGACAGAGAGAGACACAGCACATGTTGGGGTGGGGCAGAGAGAGAGGAAGACACAGAATCTGAAGCAGCCTCCAGGCTCCAGGTTCTGTGCTGACAGTTCGGAGCCTGCTTCAGATTCTGTATCTTCTTCTCTCTGCCCCTCCCCTGCTCATGCTCTGTCTCTGTCTCAAAAATAAAAACATAAAAAAAATTTTTTTCAATGAACGAGTAATTTTCAATTACGAGATGTAAAAATGTAAATGTCTTTGATCCAACTTCAAGGTAGTAAGAGAAAAACTAGAAAACCATAACAAGACTGAACCAGTTTACCAAATAAGATACAAAATCTTCTCAAAGAAACTGATTAAACCCATGTATCATGAGCAAGAATTCATTCCACTTTAGGAAAACTCTAATGTGGAATACTAAAGCTGAGAAAGCAAATGAATTTCCACAGCCTTGCCACTTAACTCTAAACAGAAATAAAAGAAAAAAATCTAAAACATAAAGAGTACTTAAAGCCTAACAGCAAAAAGAGTAAATAAAAATACTTAGATGTCTAATCCAGGAACAAAATAGAGGGCTGGGATCTGTTTATTATGATTATTTTGGAGACTCTAATACAATAAATACCATAAACACTGAAAAAAACCAAAATCTATGGATTTAAGGCCTAGAGAACTCCATTAAAACAAATTGAGTAAAAAATCAAACCAAAAAACACAAATTGAATAAAAAAACTGATGTCAGTTGGGTAAGCAAACTACAACTAGCAATAAAATTAGTGGGAAATAGATTGTATTCACAGTAGTGACAAAACCCCCACAAAACCAGCAATAAACTTGACAATACAAGTACAGTAATTCTAGAACTAAAATTCTAACATTCCATTGGAGGGCATGCAACAGATCTTGGAGAAAAATGCTTCTGGATGGGAAGACATGATGTATACTCAAAACCTCAAAGGAGATTCTCGGTAATGGGACATAACTTTGTTATGTTTGAAACTGCCCCCAAATATCTGAGAAATAGTGCTTGCTTCACCTTACCAGATAATATAATAGTTTTACACTTATCACAGGAAAAAAGATTAGGAAATAGATGGGAATTGTTTCAATTCAGCTGGACAAGGATAATCTTGATCATGTGACACTGGCATAAGTGGGCACCCATCTGGAAGAGTCTTACTTTATGCCATATACAGAAAGTTTATTGAGGGATTATAGATATAAATGGGGAAAACTCTAAATTCTACATGTTTACTGTTTTGAGATGGAGTAGATCTTAAGACTGAAAATCCAAAAGCAACTGTAGAAAACAAGATTTGAGGGGCGCCTGGGTGGCACAGTCAGTTAGGCGTCTGACTTCAGCCAGGTCAAGATCTCGCCGTCCGTGAGTTCGAGCCCCGCGTCGGCCTCTGGGCTGATGGCTCGGAGCCTGGAGCCTGTTTCCGATTCTGTGTCTCCCTCTCTCTCTGCCCCTCCCCCGTTCATGCTCTGTCTCTCTCTGTCCCAAAAAATAAATAAACGTTGAAAAAAAAAATTAAAAAAAAATACAAGATTTGACAATATAAAAACTTCAGTGTCTCCATGGCAAAAGAGCATAAACAATCAAAAGACAAATGACAAAATGGAAAAACCTTACATATCGATAAGTAATCAACAAAAATTTATTCAACCTAGCCATCAGAATTAAAAAATTAGGACAGCAAACAACTTAGATTATTTCTTGCCAAATTCACAGAAATTGGAGAATCATTATCTTCGGTTCTGGCAAGGAAGCAGAGAAATCCAGCACTTTTGTACATTGCTGATGACACTTGAGAGTCATCTGGCAGCACCTGCCAAAACTTAGAATGCACATACCTAGAGAACCCAGAGTACAAAAAGGAAAGCATGGTATTTAATGATCAACAGGTTTATCTGTAGGAGCAAAGAGGAAAAGCAATCTGAAGATCAACAGAATGGATAACCTATAGTTTATCCATATTATGGAATGGAAATGCCCACACACAGGTAAGGCCTATACATGTTAAAAGGAATTGCTTATATATAGAATGATTCCATTTCTTAGAAATCCCCCTAACAACTTATTTATAAGCATATTTGTATTTATAGAAGCAAAGAAGGATACACCCCAAACTGTTGTTGGTGCCTTCAGATGGATGGGATTGAGCTATAAGAGTAGGGGGTGGGGAGTAAATTAACTTTTTTTTAGATACTTTTATTTGTTTTGAGGATCTGCTTTTATTTGATCAATCAAGAAAGTGAAAAAGTGTAGAATATAAAGTTCTTATTTTTGCAAATAAAAAAGTTGATAGTTTAAGAAATAGTGGTAGAAGTAAAAACTACTTAGAATTATGGCAGCAACCACCACAAGAAACAGAAAACAGGAGGACTAGGGGTAAGGTGGCAGATCTTTGACAGAATAAGGCAGCATATTTTCCAAGATAATTGGGCTTACATGCAGTATGCCCTAGAGAACGGCTTTAAATGCCTTCATGACCATAGTAATTCATACAAGAATGCAAAGCCAGGTACATAAAACAAACACCACACAAGTAACAATTATATATATGTGCTGGGTCCCAATAAACTGAAAGCACTTTTTATATTCCCCATCGTATCTTTAACACACCTTTTTGGTTACCCTTGAGTAGGAAGTAGCCACATTCAAATGAGTTAAGGTGGAAGAAATAAAAAGGACCACAAACTTTATTAAAAGTAAGTAAACGTAACATATAATATGTACAGATGGCACATGGTGCCAATTTTATTTGTAGTTATTATAGTACTCCAACTCAAGTTTACAAGTTACACCTTTGCCACAGCCTTGGCTAAATCTTGAACTAGTGCAGAATTTAGTTGTGCTAGAGTGCTGATCTTAGCATGCTTAGATGTGGCATACTTGTTCTTGATAGTCTGGAAGACAAAAGCATAATAATTAATGAAGGGAAAAAGGAAAACATTGTGAGACCCAATAGTACAGAGAGTCACTTAAAATAATTCCAAGGGCACTTGGGTGGCTCAGTTGGTTAAGCGCCTCAGTTTTGGCTCAGGTCACGGATCTCAGAATTTGTGGGACAGAGCCCTATGTTGGGCTCCACACCGTTGCCAGCGTGGAGTCTGCTTGTTGTTCTCTTTCTCCCTCCCCCTCATTCTCTTGGTGTTCTCTCTCTCTCAAGTATTAATACACTTAAAACAATAACATTATATATATATATAAAAAATCAACTCCTTGAAAATAAACTATTCATTTACAGACTTGAAGTCTTAAGTATTTTCACTTGTCCTCCCAACATCTTACAATGCCCCTGACTTACCATGTGCTTTGTAAGCCCACGATTCACCATGACTATATTCTTAGCCAGGTGTTGCATAACATTTAGAAGGGATTCTTCAGTGTATGACAGGTAATGCTGTAAAGTTGGTGTCTACGGCAACAAAAGTTAATGTTAGAAATGCTCATGAAGAATGGTTCTCAGAAAATTTCTGTAAGTTAGTCAAGTGTAGGGGGTAGGAAGAGGGATTCTGTAGGACTGATTATAAGTACAATTTAAGATAAATTTAAGATGCCTTCTTCCCCAAATACTCTTCTTTCATGCTTCTTCAGGACCCTGTACTTATTAAACCTATTATACAATAATGTGCTCAAACCTCATTAAACTTCTTTAATTGCTGACTAGTGTACCCTCCAAAGCTGGGCTCCAAATTGTTTGACACCAACATTCGCATGCCTAATTCACAGGCCTAGGGTAGCACATGGCACATAGGAGAAATATGTGTAGAATCAGGGAGTATGAATGGACTTCTAGCATGTCATTTGACCTGCCTGAGAGTCTTCATCTGTGTAAGGTGAAATTAGGTAACGAAGTGGGAATATCTTATGAACACATAGTAAACAAGATAAGATTTTTAATCATTCTCTCAGTCGATGGTCTATTTTTAGAAATCATTTGAACTGTCCTTTAATGAAAACGGTCCAGTATTAGCGCAAACATCACTTAATATTTAAAAGCTTCGGGTAATGTAAGTCTGCGGGAAGAGCTTACCCATTCACCATTGTCGAGAATTTTTAGTGCTAGGCAAAAAGCTCCTGCTGCAATCTGAGAAGGAGGAAAGTGCACCATATCGTAATCCAGCATAGTTAGCTCCATCAGGTATTTGGCCAAAGTATGTTGCTCAACATCAACCTGAAACAAAACCCACAGGTCTCTGAGCTTTCGTCAGAATTCTGTTATGGCAATAACCAGTATACCCTTAACTATAATTACAAGTATTTGTCTATAAACTCTCAAATGCTGGGGTGCCTGGAAGGCTCGGTCGGTTGAGCATCTGACTTCGGGTCAGTTCATGATCTCGCAGTTTGTGAGATCACGCCCTACGTCGGGCTCTGTGCTGACAGTTGGGAGCTTGGAGCCTGCTTCCGATTGTGTCTCCCTCTCTCTCTCTGCCCCTCCCCCACTCATGCTACATCTCTCTCAAAAATAAACATTAAAAAAATTTTTTTAAACTGTCAAATTCAACTACCCATGGAAAGCCTCAATGAAAACATTAATACATAGCCTGCCTGGAAATAAAGAACATCTTGATGTCTTCCTCATGTAGAGTTATAAGTCAGGTGAATCAGATCTTTGTGATTAGCAATATTTCATAATGTCCCATACTAAAGATTATCCAAGAAATCTGTACCTCTCCAATCTTAGATGCTCTCCGAAGGAAATGCAGGGGTAGAGGGCGGCCCAGACCAAAATTTAAAGATCTTAGAATCTTCATTTCCATCTGTCTGATTTGGTGCTTGGTGTAAGTGTTGTCAGTCACAAAGGCAAAGTCACCAATTTCTGGAGGGTACATTTCTTCGTATTTACTTGCAATAAACATGGCAGTGACACCAACCAGCTGCAGCATCTTCTTGGGTACACAATTATTCTGCAATGGGAATTCCAACCTGATGAACAACTAATATGTACTTGAAAAAAAAGAGACAACATAGCTATGAAGGGAACATGGGAAAAAACATTCTAATAGCAAAATCTCAATTAATGACACTCTACCCCACAAGACAGATGTTAGCCGGAGAAGTTTGTTTCTTAGGACTCAGCTAGAACCCTGGAATGGAGAACCCTCAGGTACTGAATTATGCTCACCTGCATGAACCGATCAATAATGGAAACAGTCATGTACATGGTCTCCTGCAGTAACCTGAATTTCATTTGAACCTGTACTAGCCAGTCAATTAGGATGGCTCTCATGTTTCCAGTGACTTCACGACCCAGGAGGTATTTTGGTCTTACTGCTTGCTCTTCCTGCAAAAGAATGCTGATTATCCTTTAGAAGCAAGACTCCCTGTGACATTTCTGGTCAGAAATATTAGTCATCACAGAACAGTAATGGAGCATTTAGAATCTCTAACAGGTGTCAACTTAATTCTTCATACTGTCACTACAATCAGCTCTATCACTGAGCAAGAAAGCAAACATTAAATAGGGCAGTTTGACAGGTTTTTCATATTGGCAGATCTCACTAAGTTCAACTTACCATCACTGTTACCTGCCCACACTCTGTAACCACTTCAACCCCAAGATATCTCGCCATCATCTCAGATCTTTTCACTTAAGACTATAAACCCAGAACCTGAGCTTTATGAAGTAGAGAAAAATAGCACCAGCTATTTTCCAGATCAGCTGGAACCTATATGCTACCACTCTCCTGCTGTAGGATTTAAACCCTCAACACACCATAGGTAAAAAGAATGAACCATCAAGGACCAACGCATACATCTGCTAAACCCACCCCACCAAAGTTAGAAAACTTTAAAAGGGAGATGAAACCCAAAGTGGAAGCCTTGTCCTGGCAAGGAAGTCTTCTTACAGAACAATTGTATACAAAATCTTTTGGATGCCCAGAAGAACCAGACAAGAGAGAAAAGATGTTAAATGGTGCTGAAAGAAGAGAATGCCTTATAAACACACAACTGGGCAAATGTGCTTGTTTGCTTTTTTGTTAGCATACAGAATGCTTCCTTGTTTTGGCGGGCAGGAGGAGCAGAGGGCATATGCCACTAATAATATGAAGTTTCAGAAGTGATATGAAGTGGAAGAAAACCAAAAACTTTTTTATTGTACTCTCAGACACAAAAATTTCCCTGGTGTTACATGCACATCAGCCACAAGGACCCAAAGTGCCTTGCGTTGCTGGTGGTTATAGTTTTCATTACGGCCTACCCCCTGCCTCTAATCCTCAAACACAGAGCCTGGGAATTGCCCATCCTTAACCTATGGGCATTCATTAGGGTTCTGGGGGCACCTGGGTGGCTGAGTTGGTTAAGCATCTGACTTTGGCTCAGGTCATGATCTCGTGGTTCCTTGAGTTTGAGGCCTGCATCAGGCTCTAGGCTGACAGCTCAGAGCCTGGAGCCTGCTACAGATTCTATGTCTCCCTCTCTCTCTGCCCCTCCCCAACTTGTACTCTTTCTTAAAAATAAACATTAAAAATTTTTTTTGAAAAAGAGAGAAAAAAAAAAAAAGCATTCGGGCAGTACCCAGTGTCACTTTGAATTTTCTCTGTCCAAAATGGCAAACAAAAGATATCCTTGGCTTGTCTGGGGACTTGATTTTTGGTACCCCACGAAGAAGAATTTCCAAGTGGCATCTGTTAAGAAACGCTACTTACATCCTGCTTGAGTTCTTGTAAACAAAGTAAAATATCTTTAATAAAGCTAAGCACCATTTAGAAAAAACAAATATTCTGGAAGTAATACAGACCTCAAGTTGTCTCAAATAAGCATAAATATCTTTCACATATTCACTACAAAGGTTTGGATCAGCTCCATCTTCTGCATCCACATCGTTCACTGCAAGAATTACATCAGAGAAAGCCTGACACAGATATTCTTCTGCAGGGGCACATCCAGACGTTTCCATTGGGCTTGGAGACGGAGTATCAACCTTGAAATAGAGAAACCTTTTGAAATAATAGCAAAGAGAAGCATACCATCCGGGAATGAAGGCCCAATTATTGGTACCAATTCAACAGACCAACTGCTAAAGAGACATATAATTCACAGTTCATTTCCTTAAAGGAAAATTAGTTTCTTTTCAGATTTATTCAGTTTCTCTTTAGGACATGATTAATACAAAAGTGAAATGCCCAAACAGAATGAGCCACTTTGAAATCAGTAGAACCTCGACACGAATGGGTAAAACAGAGAAAAAGCAAACAAAATCACATGTTAGACTTTCTTCTAAAGGAAATGAGTAAATAACAAATCTGTTTATCAGTGTCATGTGAAGTCAATCCAAATGAATGAGTCTTTTGTCTTCATTTCAAAACACGGACTGCTTCTCACTGCCCAGGAAAACACAATGTCTGTCCTGCCTACCAAGGACTAACAGAGTTCATTCGTTATCATTAACCATTTCCTTCAAGCTCCAGTTTCCCCTTTGTTCAAACATTCATTGATCATGTTCTTCTAGTCAAGCCCTGTGCAAGACATGGTCTTTACAGTCTCCTCAAAGGGATTTGAATCTATCGATCTATTTTTTAATTTACTTTTTAATGTTTATTTCTGAGACAGAGAGAGACAGAGCATGAGTGGGGGAGGGGAAGAGAGAGAGGGAGACACAGAATCCCAAGCAGGCTCCAGGCTCAGAGCTGTCAGCACAGAGCCCGACATGGGGCTTGAACTCACAAACAGTGAGATCAGGACCTGAGCCGAAGTCGATCACTCAAGTGGCTGAGCCACGCAGGCACCCCAAAGGGATTTGAATTTAGAAGACAGAAGTAAATAAAATGAGGAGATAAGAGTCTAAGAACAGGGGTGGGGAAAGTTAGGGAAAATTTCAGGAGTTGACGTTTGAGCTGTTTTGAAAGATGAAAAGATTACTAGCTAAAAGAGTGTGAGGGTAGGAAAGGCCTTTTTTAAATAAGTGGGACAGCAAAGACCATCAGTATGGGACTTTCAAGGAAACCACACATAGTTGGTATGACTGTACATGCTATAGGTTTCTTGTGTCATGTCCAGAATGTTAATACTAAAGCAACAGCCTCAGATCTCCCACCCTTAGATATAAGAGGCTAGGCTGAATGACTTTTACAGATCATTTTCTCAACTGGTTTTAACTACTTTGTTTTGTTTGTATGTATGTATGTATGTATGTATGTATGTATGTATGTATGTTTGTATGCATGCAATTTTTTATTTAGGAGTGGAGCCTGTGCTTGGTCCCACCACCCTGGCAGATCCTAGGACCTGAGCAGAAATCAAGAGTGGGATGCTCAATTGACTGAACCACCCAGGGGCACCTACTTTTTGTTTTTTAATTTAAAGATGCCTTTGTAGGGGCACCTGGGTGGCTCAGTCTGTTAAGCGTCCGACTTTGGCTCAGGTCATCTCCAGTTTATGGTCGAGCCCCACATCGAGCCCTGCACTCTCAGTGCAGAGCCTGCTTGGGATTCACTGTCTCTCCCTCTCTCTCTGCCCCTACCCTGCTCTCTCTCATGTGCTGTCTCAAAATAAACACTGAAAAAAAAAAGGTATTCTTATAAAATTAGAGCTTCATTAAATGCAGTTCATTGTAAATTCAGCAAAGCCCCTTTTAGGTGCCCTGTTTCTCCTTCAAAGGAGTGGATATATTTACATGACTGATGTTTAGTTAAGTTCTTAATTTTAGTTTTTGAGGCCAAATGTTAATAACTCATTTTATCTACTCTGAAAATCTACATTTTTTTCTGCTTTACACTTTTATATATTCCAGTGTTACAGGCTTATTAATTATTCAGTGGCCACATTAGGGAATAAAAGGATTCAAGATCATCTGTTTCAGTCAATAAATTCTGGTCAGATGGCTTGTACCAAAGACAGTAAAATCTTTGATCCATGCACATATGATAAATCAATACCATTAATAAAGAGCGGGAGGGGCTCCTGGGTGTCTCAGTCTCTTAAGCTTCCAACGACTCTTGATTTTGGCTCAGGTCATGATCTCATGGTTCGAGGGTTTGACCCCGCAGTGGGCTCCACATTGAAAGCATGGAGACTGCTTGGGATTCTCTCTCCCTCTCTCTGCCCCTTTGAGAGAACTTTCTCTTTCAAATAAACTTAAAATAAATAAATAAATAAATAAATAAATAAATAAATAAATAAATAAATAAAAGAGGGGGGAGACAGTATAACAAAACGATTTAGAGCCTAGGTTCTGAAGCCAGATGGCCTGGGTTTAAGTCCATATGTGTGATCAGATGTGTGACTCTAGAAAATTTACCCAATACTTCTCTAAGCCATTATCTAAAAAGTAGAGGTAGTAATACAAGTAAGAGAGTCCATACAAAGATTGGGTGAGTTATGGGGCGCCTGGGTGGCTCAGTTGGTTAAGCGTCTGACTTTGGTTCAGGTCATGATCTCTGGGTTTGTGGGTTTGAGCCCCGCATCAGGCTTTGTACAATGATGCGGGGGTTTGAGCCCCGCATCAGCTCAGAGCCCAGAGCCTGCTTCGGATTCTGTGTCTCCCCCTCTCTCTGCCTCTCCCTCGCTCACACACACACTCTCTCTCTCAAAAATAAATAAACATTAAAAAAAAAAAATTAAAGATTGGGGGAGTTAAATGTATTTGAAGTGCAGAGGCTACCTCCTGCTAAGCACTCTATAAATGTTACTATTATTACTATTTGTTCAAACACTGATTCCACGTTATTATTAATTGAGGGAAAGAAACAACCAAACCAAAGTAAGTTTACCAAAATAGGCTCCGGAGAAAGCTTTTCTTCTTTAACAGGCTCATGTTCTGGCCCTGGTTCTGGCACAGGTACAGACACAGGCTCGGGTGCTTTGTCCAGAGGTTTTGGTATTTTTTTAGCAATAACTTTTCCAGGAGCCAAAGTTTTTGCTTCCTGTGGATGAAAGAAGAAAATGAACTGTTTCTGCATCAAGGGTCACAGCTGTAAGGTGGACTCTTACAGAGAAGTTAGATCTGGAAGAGATAGTTACCTTTTTCAGAGGCAATTTGGCTTGTGGCTGTTCGCTGACTTTGTTACCAATGTCTCCGAGGGCTGTTCTTGGCCTCAGTCCCGGCTTGGAGGCTGCAACAGTGGCCAGAGGCACGCGCTTTGCGCCTGCCATACTGATCTTTGCCTTATTTTCAATATTAACTTTCGTGTTCTGAAAGAAACAAGACCACTTTCAGAGCTGGCCCAATCAGAGCGGACTAAGTCAAGGGTCAATTAAGGTGGGGCAAGAGAGAGGCTCTCAGGACAAAAGTTGGCTGTAAAAAAAGGGTTCCCAAGGAAAACCGGGGTTCAGGATCTACCCTTCGGTTGTGACATGTCAATTTCTTACCAGAACCTCTTCACTCATCTATTCAGGGGTGGTCGGTTTAGTCCCGGCCGACCCTAAAATTCCACGAATTTACATTTGAAAGGAAATAGAAAAGCCTGCAATTGCAGGCATTTTCTCTCCGGGAAGGGGGTTATGAGGTTCTTGGGTGTCGGCTCTGGGGCCCTCTATCACATTTTAAAAGAGGTTTCCTGTGGACCCTCCATCGCCCTCCCCACTCGCGGCAAGCATTTATCCAAGGCTGATCCAGTTCTCTTCCTCTCTCCGTCGGTCCACCTAACTCCCCCACCAAGCCAGGGGCCCACCGATCCCCCCCGCTCCCGTCCTCCTCCCCAAATCGCTGCCCTGGTCCGCTCGAGAGCCTCCGGCAGGCCACAGAGGATGCGAGGACACGCAGCAAGCCAGGAAGGCCGCGTTTGTTCATCGTCCGCAGCAGCTCACCCTGGTGACCCGGAGCGCCATGGCTTCCTCTTCACCAGGCAGCAGCTCAACGGGGAGAAGCAGAGCACGGGAGCCACCGAAGAGCCGGGGACCTGAACGCACCGCAGACCAACAGTCGTTCCACCGCAGCACGCCGGGAGGAGCAGTACCCAGCCTCAGGTTTAAACCCCGCACTGCTCCCTCCTCATTGGTCTGTTCGTGGCACTCGCTCCCTTCCCATTGGCGGCTGCCTGTTCCTCCGAGAATGCGTTTCCTGGGCGATCCCGCGGAGACGTTCGAGAGGGGGCGGGGCCAGGCCTCGGCTCTCTGGCAGCTGTGCTGCCACCTGGAGAGGCAAGCAGGCAGTGTGCCGGCGGCCTGGAGAGGAGACCTTGAGCGCAGCGGGAGCTCGCCCAGGGAGTGGCTGGTGGCCTCTGAAAAGTGCCAGTGGGGCAGCAAGAGTTGGAGAAACTGAGAAGCAGTTATGGCTCTAATCTTGCTTATTGTTACACACTTTCCTCTTCTGCAGTGGACTGTAGCAGGAAAGGCTTTAAAATACATTCTTTCATTTGATTTGAGTATCTTTCATTTGTTTTCATTCCTGGGGTGGAGAAACTGAAGCTCAGAGAGGGTTTGGGTGACTTTCCCAGGATGACAAAATGAATTACGTGGGAACGAAACTTTGGCTATTTTTTGGATCCCTGAAGTTTCCACAGCACAAATTGTATGTTAAGAATATTGTCACCTTCGGGGCGCCTGGGTGACTCAGTCGGTTTATCGTCCCACTTCGGCTCAGGTCAGGATCCCACGGTTCGTGGGTTCGAACCCCTGCTCCCCGTAAGGCTCTGTGCTGGCCGCTCGGAGCCTGGCCCCTGCTTTGGAGTCTGTGTCTCCCTCTCGCTCTGCTCCTCCCCCATTCACTCACTCACTCTCTCTCTCTCAAAAATAAGTAAACATTAAGAACAATATTGTCAGCCTTTTAACCCGCCAGATTACTTTAATCCAATTGCTTCCCAAAGCCAATCTTTTATTTTAGCTCTTTATTTGAAAATGATTTCAAATTTAGGAAAGTTGCAAACAAAATTATTACAAAGAACATACATATACCTTTTGCCCAGATTCAAGTACCCTTAACATATTACTTCATTTGCTTTATCATTTATTTTTCTCTCTTTCTATATATATCTCTGTCTCACTGTATATAAAAATTTTCTTCCTGGGGCACCTGGGTGGGTGGCTCAGCTGGTTAAGCCTCTGACTCTTGATTTCGGCTCAGGTCATGATCTCGGGATTTGCAAAATTGACCTTGCTGTCAGCACAGAGCCTTCTTGGGATTCTCTCTTCCTCTCTCTACCCCTCTCCTGCCTGCAGTCTCTCTCTCTCTCTCTCTCTGTCTCAAAATTAATAAACTCTATGAAAAATTTGTTTCTTCCTGAAACATTGGATGGTAAGTTATACATACTTACGGCCCTTTATCCCTTAATTCTTTGGTGCGCATTTCCTAAGAAAAAAGGATATTCTCATATATTACCACAATACAGTTATCAATTTCATAAGTATACTGTTTTTAATGTTTATTTTTAGAGAAAGAGCGCACATGTGCATGCACATGAGCAGGTGAAGAGCACAGAGAGAGGGAGAGAGAGAATCCCAAGCAGGCTCAGAGCTATCAGCACAAAGCCTATCTCAAGGCTCAATCTCATGAACCTGAGATCATGAACTGAGCCAAAATCAAGTGTCAGCAGCTTAATCAACTGAGGTGCCCCATAAGTTTACTTTATTACAATATTAAATGCAACCTAGTTTATATTCCAGATTTGTCAGTTGATCTAATAATGTCACTTACAGCATCTTCCCTCCTCCAGTAGAGGATGCAGTCTAGAGCCAGATGTTGCATTTAGCTTCCTTTAATCTGGAACAGTTCCCACAGCTTTTCCTACAATGCATAGAACAGCTCCCACCCTCCCAAACACATACACAAATAATTATTCAGCCCAAAATGTCAATAGTCTGGTAGAGCCAGAGTTGAGAAATCTTGCCAACTATGTACATACCTATAGACTCATTCAATATGCTAGTTTTGGGTTTTGTTTTGTTTTGTTTTGTTTTGCTTAATTAGCATTAAGTACCATGGATCACCTCCTTTCTTTACAATATTTAAAAATGTGTATGTCTTCCTCCTAAGTGAGCTAACTATACAGTGTGAAGTCAATGAGCTCAATGTTCTCTCCTCTGGCCAAGTTAATAGGGCTGACTACATACCAGGCCCTGTTCTAAGTGCTAGGAATATATCTCTGAACAAAACAGAGAAGTTCCTCATTCTCACAAACCTTATATTCCAGTAAGAGGGAGATAGAAAGAGAAAGACAGAGAGAGAGAGAGAGAGAGAGAGAGAGAACAGGTAAATAAACAAAGTGAAAAAAAGAAAAGTCAGATACTACCAAGTGCTAGGCAGAGAATGAAAAGAAAGTGATATAAATAGAGTAACTTGGTAGCTACCTTGGACTTGGTAGTCAGGGATGGTCTGAGAAGGTGACATAATTCCTAGGTTAAGGTGAGGTTTAAATTTTTTTTTTTTCAACGTTTATTTATTTTTGGGACA